CGGGAAGAGGCAGCAGTTCGGGAGCCGGCTGCTGAGTGATCCGGCGCGTGTTTTCCACCACAATGCCTGGTAACCGCCCTTCCCTTGTCGGGCCTGCGACCCGCCCTCTGTCCCTCCGCCCTGGAGCGCTCCGAGAAGCCCCTGACCGCCGCTACGAGTTCCATTGCCTTATTCCAGGCACTGTGCTCCCACAAGCCAGCTACTCACCCTGCCCGCAGCTGGAACGCGAGGCCCCTAAGCAGCCTGTTTGATTTTCCCAGGGACAATGTGGAGTGGTCGGAAGAGCAGGCCGCGGCGGCGGAGAGGAAAGTCCAGGAGAACAGTACCCAGCGGGTTTGCCAGGAGAAGCAAGGTGAGCCCAAGGGGTCCTCAGTGGTCTCCACAGCCAGTGTACTGCTCACGTGCTCCCGGGGAGGCCAGAGAACCGAGGCTGCCAAGGGCCTTTGTTACTGGACTCGGGGCGGTAGAACGGGAGAGGGAGGGGATGTGCAGGGATGGAAAAGGGCTACACCGGTAAAGTCTTCTTAGGGCATAGAGGATGTTTTATTTGGGGTTGATATTATTTTGTATTGTTTAAGTTTTTAGTTATGTTTACTAGACACATATTAATATGGCTAGCCTGTGGCAACTGCCACACGATTGTCTTAGAGGGTGTATTTTCCACATGATTGCACTTTGAGGAAATGTTACCATTGAAGCTAGAACCAAGTTGTTGGATTCTAAATGTTGTTGAAGGAGGGAACTAATGACTGGTGAGTTATGTGTCTTTTCCTTGTGTACTGGCTGTGAGGATTTAGGGCTTCTGCCAAGGAAAGATGGATGAAATAGAGTGGAGATAAGTCTCACCAAAGAAAAAGAGACAGCTTCTGGAGAGTTGGATGATTTCACTGCAAAATATCCCTAGATACTAAAACTAGGACTGGTTGGACCTGTGTCCTAAGAGAAGATTGAAGGTAGGACTAGAAATTGGAGAGTAGTACCCACTGAGAGTTCTGTACAACAATTAGAAGATTCCAGTTGCAAAATATTTACCCTACATAGTTTGACAGAGTCTAGATCAAAGCAAGTTAAAGTTGAAAGGGATTTTTAAAGTCATGTGGTCCAATATCCTCTTTTACAGTTAAAGAAACTTGGACCACAGGACATTAAGTGCCTTGCCCAGAGGTAAGCAGTTAGTAGAAGCAGTGGTGGAACTAAAATACAATTTCTTTGATTTTCATTCTACTACAGTAGTCATGGTCCTGTATTGGCAAAGAGCAGAAAACTGAAATCTAGGGCAACCTTGATCACCTTCAACAACAGCTTTCTTTTTAAACAGTCCACACTTCTTTAGTATATCCTGTCCTCCATCATCAAAACTGTTCTCATTGGAAGACATTTTTTCCTTGTCAGCATTCTCTATTTCCCTTTTAGCCTTCTTTCCATTTTTAGTATCTATTAGTAGTGAAATTCATTTCTGGGCTCCATGCTCTAAAGAACCACAGACAAAGGGACATAGTTAAAGAAGAGCTGCCTGTATCAGAACCATTAAGTTCACATGGGGAACAACTGAAGAACCTGGGATATTTAGCTTGTAAAAGGAGATCTAGATGGGAAAATAACTGCCCTCAAACACAAAAGAGTTGTTCTGTATGGCCCTGAGAAATGATAGGACCTTTTGACCAGAAGTGATTAGACAGGTTTTTTTGTTTAACATTAGAATTTTCTAATAGTTAAGAGCCACCAAAAGATGTGGGAGAATTGATAGGTAGTAAGTGCCTTGGCAGAAGTTGAACTCCATGGAAGGACACATATGGAGTGAATTCATGTATGATAGGTCGTAAGACTAAAAGATCTCCATCTCTGAGGCTATGGCTCTAATTGAGGATACTTTTCGTATAAAATGACATTTGATGAAGCAAGGTGATAATTGACATAAGATACAAATAAAATACTGAGAAATGGTCCTTAAAATTTTTTCTTAAAACATTTACAGTTGATTATGAGATCAATGCCCACAAATATTGGAATGATTTCTACAAAATCCATGAAAATGGGTTTTTCAAGGACAGGCATTGGCTTTTCACTGAATTCCCAGAGCTGGCACCTACTCAAAACCAAAATCACTTGACGGATTTGCTCTCAGAGAATAAGAGGAGTGAAGTGCCTGAATGTAGGAGCAGTGACGATGGACCTGATTTAATAACCGAAGAACAGCACAAGTGTCCTTCAGACAGCCTAGGGCATAAAACACGGACTCTTCCTGAGGAAGAGACTGTAACTCAGAAACTCAGTCACTTGGAAATCTGTGCTGATGAGTTTCCTGGATCCTCAGCCACCTACCGAATACTCGAGGTAACCTTTTTTATTGTTCTGGTAGTGGGGTTATAAAGTTGTAATGTTGTGCACATGGTCAGCATAGAGAGGCTGACCACAAAGTCATATTAGACTGATGAAGCCTTGACCCTTATGTTGGCCAGGAATTGCCTCCATTTTATCTGGTGGTTGTGGCAAACAAAGATAGATCACCTGAGGTGCTACCTGGGAACATGATATTGCATCTGAAAGTTGTAGGTTGTGTTGCACCTGCCATCTGGAAAAGAGTCCCAGGTCCCAAGACAACTTTTGTTACTTCTCTTATGATACGATTATAAAATGGAGAGGTTAGTTGAGTTGGCACCTGCTTCTCAGGTGTGGGAGAATTCTTGTCTTCTGAGTTTGCATGGTGTTGCAGAAGCAACGGTAGACCTGGAAAAGTGTCTAGGTGGGTACTGTAATGTAAACTCACAAATGGTGACTACATACTTCACTTGTAACCTCTTACCCTCCCCAAGCAGAATGGGACTTCTGGCTCTCTTAGCTTTCTCTCTGCCTCATAGTTTTATGAAGATTAATTGAAATCATGTATGTAAAATAGCTAAGAATAGTGCCTGGCACATAGTAAATGATTACTGTTTTATTGTTACCACACCCAGCACTGTATTGAGGACAGTGTAATCATGGTTCTCTTTTCATGAATTTTTCAGCCCAGTCAATTAGAAACGTTTTTCTGTGTTATAGTGGAGCTCACTAAGAAAATAATTCATCTACAGGACCATTCACTAGAATTCAGAAAGTAAAAGCAACCCATGCCCTTTTTTCTAGACCAGCTCCCATCTGCTAATGAAAGCCCATGCTACCTCTTTAAGGGTTCCTGAGGTCAAGGTCAGGGAATGTCATGGGTACTGTTATCTCTGGTCACTACATTATCCCTAATATAATTGGGCAAGATTATCTGTTGTTGATTATTTATCTAGCTTTGGGCAATTAATTTGGAAAGTTCTGTGATTAACAGTTCATTTCTGTCTGCAGGTTGGTTGTGGTGTGGGAAACACAGTCTTTCCAATTTTACAAACCAACAAGTAAGTGTATTATAAAGTTTAACTGTATGTCAGCAAAGAAGAGGAGAGTGGAGGGGGTATCAAAAGTCTTACTGCATTAAATGGAACAGTAGTTATTGGAAACCGTGGGTTGTAGGAGATTTGGATTTCTACATCATCCACTTATGGGTTGATTTGATTTAATCTGATTTATAAGTTGCCTTTGTCATCAGGGAAATTAGTGAGATTTAAACCTGTTGCACTGTTAATATTTGGTTATTTTGTACTTGAACCCTGTTACTCAGGAAAGAGAATAGACATAATCCAGTTTGTAATGTAATTGTTCTGCTGTTTTTTCTGCCCATTTCAGTGACCCAAGACTCTTTGTTTACTGTTGTGATTTTTCTTCCACAGCTATACAACTGGTCCAGGTAAGTGTAGTGGCTCCTATCAGTAATTTTCACTGATTAAAGGGAAAGGATCTGCTAAAAATCATGATTTCTAGCTGTTTTCTTATTGTAGTGTGGTCTGAAATTCAAAGATTTACTGAAACAGCCTGGAGTAGAGGAAAGAGTTGAACATAAATACAGAATCTGCCACTTGCCAGCTGTGGAACTTTGGGGAGGTCTTGACCTTTCCAAACTTTTTTTTTTTCTTTTAATTTAATTTTTAGCATATGTTTTTGTTACTTCAGAGAGAGGAAGGGAGAGAGAGATAGAAACATTGTTCCACTGCCTCCTGCATGCCCCCTACTGGGGATCGAGCCTGCAGCCAGGGCATGTGCCCTGACTGGGAATTGAACTGATGACCTCCTGGTTCATGGGTCAACATTCAACCAACAGCCACACTGGCTTATTTTTTTAAGAACTGAAATGAAGTGATTATTCAGTCAAGGTTTTTTGAGTTACAAGTCACAGAAACATGTAGACAAACTCAACCAATAAAGGGAATGTCATAGAACCTAAGAGCATCAGGTGTAGCCAGGATTGAAACTCAGCCCTGAAAAGGTGTCAGATACCAAAGCAAGTTGGCTGGCCAGTGAGATGTTGCCACCCTTCCTTCTGTCACCTCCCTCAAGTTCATAGTGTCTTATCTCACTGCCCAGTGCTCACTTGCCTTTTTAAATTTGTTTTCTCTTTGCAGACTAGCTTTCTGTAGTATGTTTTCTCTGGTTTTGAGCATGGCCCCAACATGCTTGCCCCTCCCAGTCCATTACAAGCCCACCTGCTCAGGTGTTCTCAGAGCCTCACCAGAACGACTGTGTCCTTACTCCAAAGTCTCCAGAGTTTGCTTGACCCAGCCCAGCTGATAATCTGCTTCCTCCTTTTTAATTAGCTGTGACCAATGAGGAATAAAGTCACATTTTTGGAGATAAGAGATGTGAAAGAAAGTTACCCTGAAATGTGTTTGTTATAATAAGTTAAATTTTCCACATTTAGAGAAATAGATTTTCCTGGGACTTCTATAATTTATGCTATGGTTGGATTGGGAGTTATTTTAAAATCATGCTTTTTCAATATGTTTTGTCTCTCTCCTTATGAGTTTTCTTTTCCCTCTTGGTCACTTACCTTTTTGATCATTTTCCAATCCTCACTTCTAAGTCTCATCAGAATAAAGGAGAAGAATTGGGAACATTCCATTTTAAAATCACCGCTTAGAACCCACTGGCTCTTCACTAGAGTTTTTCTTGGCTCTTAGCCTTTGAGTTCAGAACGTGTGCCTTAATGATCAGAGCTCCAGCCCTCAGAGGGAAGTAACTACAATTACACTTAAAGAAGATTAGCATGCCTTGAGGCTCTGAACATTTTCTAACCCATGTATTGTCTCTTTTCCAACTGTCTGCAGACAAATTCAGCATATGATTCTTCTCGGTGTTTTGCCTTTGTTCATGATTTGTGTGATGAAGATCAGAGTTACCCAGTTCCCAGGGATAGTCTTGATATCATCATCCTCATATTTGTTCTTTCATCAGTTGTTCCAGACAAGTAAGTTGTAGGTTCTGTAACCACAGTAGCGTAGTGTAACAAAAACAAAGCTTTAGTCAGGGGCCTTGCTATCAGAGTTGGGCCCTAAATAAGATTGTGCTGATAGAAAGAAGCCACTCCATCTAAACTGATAGAAGCATCTCAGTCATTTTCCTAAGTTTGTCTTGAAGTCCAGCTTCTGTTTCAGCCTCTAAACCTCTGCTTATTGACCTCAGTGGTTGATTCTTCTTTCAATTTTTATGGAGTAATATCCCCCAAAGAATGGGGAGCCATCTTTAGTGGATGTGTGGAGAAATTTCCTATTGACCATCTCATAACGTTGTTTTAGAACTGTGAATGCCACCACTGGTAGATAACATCTCATTATTGGACTTTTCCCCCCCCATCAATAAGAAATTTACTTGTTTTTAAAAAATCCAAATGCTGGCATTGTCCAGAAAAATTTAACAGGTTTATTTATATTGTTATAAAGTTGAACTGCTGAAACTTGTTCACCGAAACATTTTTACTTGCATTAATGCTTTATGTCCCCGCATTTATATTTTAAAAAATTCATACACAAATGAAAATGGAAAAACTGCCAATACCTGATTTCTGTACTCTATTTTCAACTTGCAACTGTATACTTAGGTACCTTTTGACCCCATGGAAAAAATATCTAACATTCAGAACTACCATTGACAGGAAGAAGAGAACTTTTTTTTAAAAGAATGAAATGTTTCCCATCATAGTGGATTGCACGTTTTCCATGTATGCAGCGTGCTAGCTGGATGTCTTGGGCATAATTGTTACACCTTTGGCGTGGATAGCGCACAGGTTGGTGTCTTCAAAAAGGCCAACCAGATAGGCCTCACTTGCCTCCTGCAAAGCACCAATAGCTGCACTCTGGAAGCGCAGATCTGTTTTGAAGTCCTGAGTGATTTCTTGCACCAAACACTGGGAGGAGAGTTTGTGAATCAGAAATTCAGTGGACTTCTAATATCTAATTTCACGAAGTGCCGTGGTTCCAGGCCTGTAATGATGAGGTTTCTTTACCCCTCCAGTAGAGGGCGCACTCTTGTGAGCAGCTTTGGTAGCCAGTTGCTTCCTCGGTGCTTTACCACCAGTCCATTTCCGGGCAGGCTGCTTTGTAGGAGCCATGGTATGGAGACCTCTTTACTTATCCCCCTTCTCCTCCGGCTGGAGTTTGGCAAGCTGGAGGCAGCTCAGGCGTTAGTGATGGCCGCTGCAAACACCTCATTATTGGACTTTTAAAATGTTTTAAATAAACCAAGCTTCTTTTTCTAAAAATTTTTTTTTATTGATTTGAGAGAGAGAGAAACATAAATTTGTTGTTCCACTTATTTATGTGTTCATTGGTTGCTTCTTGTATGTGACATGACCGGGGATGGAACCTGCAACCTTGGCATATCAGTGATGCTCTAACCAGCTGAGCTACCCAGCCAGGGCATAAACCAACCTTATTAACAGCATAGAATTTATAGTGAAGCTTAACTCAGCTGTTCACTGATGCTTAAGTTCTGTGGAAAACTGAAGTACAGTAGAATTTCATAAAATTGATTTAGATAAAAGACAATTGCTATAGCTTAAAAGATACTGCTAAAGCCTCATAGACATAGGCAACTTGTCTTCCTAGTAAAAATACTGTCTCAAGAAAGCAGGGTAGGTTGGACACTCAGGGGAGCGATTGATTTTCTCCAGCCCATGTTTCCTCTAGAATAGCATTGAGTCATTTACCCTGACAGGAATATTGTGAGTATGCAGCAAAGGCAGATGGAGGACAGCCCAAAGTGCCTAGCATGGCTCAAACCATTAGTAACTGCAGAAGTTGAAATGCTACAAACTTTTAAAAACTGATGTGGACTTAAAGGAAGCATTAAAGTTAAAAATAAGTTATTCGGTAGTTAAGTAAACTTTCAAATGTTTTTGTGTAAGTTTGTAGCGTTTATACTTCTGCAGTTAGAAAAGCAGAAACTTGCACCAAGACTTGATATGGAAAATGTGGTAGGAAATGTGAAGCACTGCCCATAGTTACTCATTTGCATACTGACTGTCACTGTGTAAATGGTAAGTTCTTGAGGTTCAGTGTTTATTTAACAAATAGAAAGATCCGGTCTCTGCATTCAAAGAGCTTGGACCTAGTGGGGCAGGCAGATGAGTCCACCAGGTGGTCAGGACTTCATGAGAGGTTAGCCTCGGTTGTGAGAAGGCCCCAGAAAGCACATCAGAAGTTTGGCTGTGTTCTCCCATTCTAACTAAAGCAGGGGCAGAGGATCTAAGATTTCAGAGTTAGGAAGTCCACTGGTTTTTCAGGATATTCAACAAGGAAAAGAAACCCTGTCCTTAAATAGACCTGATCTTCAGTCCCTGTTACCCCACAGGATGCAGAAGGCCATCAACAGGCTGAGCAGGCTTCTCAAGCCCGGAGGAATGATGCTTCTGCGAGATTATGGCCGCCACGACATGGCTCAGCTTCGGTTTAAAAAAGGTATTTTGCTCCTATATCAAAACAATGGTTTTCCATCAGAATAGATACACAAATCAGTGGAACAGAATAGAGACTCTAGAATTCTAGCTCCATATTTAAAGCCACTTAATACATGACAGGGGTGGTCTGTTTTTGAAGACTTGTATAATCTAGTTATGAGGGAGGACTTTTTAACTAAGACAGCTACTTTTAAAAGCTATTTTTAGAAAAAGACATTTGATCACATAAATAATTTTCAATGTGGTATGGCAAACAATGCCATTAAAAAGTGAAAACAAATATTTCCGGTGCATAAAACAGTTAAAGACTTAATATCTGTGCTCTTCAAGGGACTCTTGGCAAGTTGATAAGGAAAAGATCAGTGACCCACCCCAAAAATGAAAGGAATATTTTTGAGTTGATACGTTTCTCCATTACTGGTGAAACATGAATTGTTATCGTCTTTTTAAATGCACCCTGTATAATCTATTCAATCCAACAATTCTTTTGGGAATTTTTCAAGAACCAATCCATAATATATACATAAGCAAAATCTTGGAAACAAAGTGAATGCCTCTGTATAGGGGAATGTAGTGCTTGTCACTTGAAGTAGACCCCATACCTCTGGTCTTGGGTGTGGCAGGGGGTTCCATTGTATTACCAAGTGAGAAAAGCAGTGCGCAGATGAGCATTTCAGACTTGATTCCACATGTAACAGTAGCTGGGGAGAAATATGTAAGTAAGTAAAGCAAGTAAGATTATGTTGACTTTCAGAAGGTGAAGGATTACACACCAGGGTGTTAAGTTGGCATAAAGTCAGGGGGTTTGGCAGCAGAAGGGAGAGCATGTCCAAGATAAACAACAGTATATGCGTTATCATTTTTATGAATGTGTGTGTAGATACATGAAGAGATGTGAAATGACAGTCACCAAAATGGGATTGGTGGCTGTTTTAAGTTTCCTTTTCTTAAACTTAGTTTTATTTATTTTATTTTTATTTATTTATTTTTTTACAAAGAGGAAATGGTATTTATTTAGTCAGGGAAAGGAAGAAAACAGTCTGTTTCAGCAGGAAACAGAACTCTAGAGGGGGTGGGGTTGAGAATCACATGTGTAAATTACTTAGCCTATAGTTTGAATATTCCCCTCGGGCTGCTCTTCTCCAAAGCACCTTCCTTTGTGGGAGAGAAATTGGAGTCCTGCAAAGTAGCAAGTATAAGCAAGAAAGAATTCTGTTCTCTGCCCAGGAAGGTGGTCTGTGATGTACATTTGATTGACAGTGAAATTCAAGGAAGTGCTTTAAATTGGAAGTTTCTCTAATTTTTGCCACATTGCTCTGCAGGTCAGTGTCTATCTGAAAATTTCTACGTGAGAGGTGATGGCACCAGAGTTTACTTCTTCACACAAGGTATGAAAACAACACTCATTTTAATGCTAACAATCCCAAAGTACCATATTTACAGCCTTTTCCTGCCCTTCCCCATCCCTCGCAGCCAACCTGAACTGCTCATGCTTCTCCAGAGAGGCTCAGGTTGTCCAACGTCAGTCCTCCACCTTGTTCTGCTGTCTGCCCCTCCTCTCTGTCATTTTGTTCAAAATGGGAAACCAGCTGTTCCTCCGAGGTCTAAGCCAGGTTGTGCCTTAGGTGTACCTGAGTTAGGGTGAACTTACCATTCACTGGGTTTATCACCCTGAGCTGCTCTCCTCTGCCACTTGCCCAGCTGCAGGTTTCCTCCACCACCAGTGCCTTAAGAACTCTCCATCGCTGGGCCCTTGGTCAGGGCACATACTTTTCTGAGCCTTCGGTTAAAGTAATGGAACCTCTCCCCTATAAAAAACCAAAAAACAGCTTTCACATACACATGTGTAGGTTTTTTCATATAATATTAAGGTGTTCATAGAGCCCTTTGTTAAAATGCCTCCCCATCAGCTGACTCTTAGAGAAGCTCTCCCATGGGTTCCAGGCTGCCCTTCCCAGATGGTTTGGCTTCCCCAACCTCAACATGAACTTGCTATTTCTAAACCACTACTACATTTATAACTAAAGAGCCCCACCGAAGCCACTTAAAATATATAAATAATGACAGCAATCTCAAGGAGCTCCATTTAACATAGAAAGTAGGGGACACTGTGCTTTTTCTTCTGGGGAAAATATATAAACATCTCTTTTCCAAACTAGATGAACTGCACACACTTTTCACGACTGCCGGACTGGAAAAGGTTCAGAACCTGGTGGATCGCCGATTGCAAGTGAACCGAGGGAAACAGCTGACAATGTACCGAGTTTGGATTCAGTGCAAATATCGCAAGCCGCTTCTGGCCAACACTGGCTCCTGACAGGATGGGAGCTCCTTGACTTTTTTAAAAGAATATCCACAAACGGTGTCTTGATGTTGGACCATTCAAGGAATCAAACAAACTTGAACTCTGAACCTAGGAAAAGTTACTTTTTATCAAGATTCTAACAATTGCCCAGCCAGCGTGGCTCAGTGGTTAAGCATCAACCTATGACCCAGGAGATAAAAGTTTGATTCCCAGTCAGGGCACAGGCCCGGGTTGCTGGCTCGATCCCCAGGAGGGGGCATGCAGGAGGCAGCCTACCAATGACTCTCATCATTGATGTTTCTCTCTCTCTCTCCCTCTCCCTTCCTCTCTCTCAAATCAATGACATTTAAAAAAAAAGATTCTAACAATCATGCTTTATATTTGTGAAGCCCTTTAATTTCTCCAGCTTTTTCTATGAGTTCTCAAGAATCTTTTTTGCCATTTTATACTATCTTAATAACTGAAGTATTCATGGAAATTCAGAATTTTAAAGGCATCAAGAATTTATTTCCATGTGAAAGTATCATGTATGATAAAGTGTTATTTTACTGTAAGTTTCATTAAATTATTTGGGAATTCAAATACCTGGTTCCAAAATAGTTTAAGTATTTTTCCCCTTCTAAGTAACCTGTAAAATTAAAAACGTCACTTTTAGCAAAATTACCTTATTTGTGTGTGCGTGCCCTTAAATGCTTGACACAAAAGGAATTGAGAGGACTTTCTTTTAGTCACATCACTTCACTTCTGAATGTGATCATCATCAGTTACTTTTTTATGACCTACATTTTTTTCAGTTATTTTGCATGTTTCTCTCTGTGGTCATAAGTTATATGATCTTAATTTTACCAAATAAGAAATTTCAATTCTTCATTCCTACATTTTGGAGTTGCAACTTAAACTTAGATATTCTCATAATTGTTTTATTATTTTAGTTACATATGTGAAAAGACAAGCAATTTTTAAAAATAACTCCAAACTTACAGAAAAGTATAGTACCAGGAATATTACAAGAATAGTCAGTTTTTTTCTGAATTATTTTAAAGAGTAAGTTGGAAGGTGATGTGCCAACACTACTGTGTATTTTAATATGTAATTCCTGTTACGAGACATTCTCCTATGTCACCAAATAAGTCCATGAGAAATAGAAATTTTCATGGAAACACTACCATCCACAGATAACCAAGTTTTCCCAATGGTCCCAATATATCTTTTATCACTTAAAAAAGCCATTTTGTTGCATTTAGTAGTCTTGTCTCAGCCTCCTTCAAACTTGATTTCATGACCCTGATATTCAAAGATTACAGGCTATTTTGCAGACTGCCCCTCAAGTTGGGTTTGTTGATACATCCTCATGATGTGGTTCAAGTACTACTCTTTTAGCAGGAATATCACGTGATGCTGTGCTTCTCCCATTGCTTCCTATTGGGATATATGTTTTTTAATTACCCTGTTGGTAATATTCCCCTTGATCACTTAATTGAGTGGTGTCTGCTGAGATTCTTCACTGAAAAGTTACTAGTAAGCATTTTGTAGGATAGTGCTTTGAGACTATAACTATACCGTTCCTCACCAAACTTTACCCCCTGGTTTCAACATCTTGCTGTTTCTTGCCTGAACACTATTCTAATGGTGGTCACATAGTGTTTTCTAATCCCATTATCTCTACATTTAAGGTAGGCTTTCTTTTCTCATCTTTTTACTTAATATGGACTCAGGTTGTTTTTTTATTCAATATTATATACTGTCATTATTTTAATGCTCATATTATCTCAGGTTTGGCCAGCAGAAGCCCCTTCATATGCTTCTGTAACTTTTTGATGTGTCCCCATTAGTCTTTGAGCACTTAAATCACAAGTTGTGCCAGGCTCATCTTGTACTTTTTCTGTTCCTGTCTGAATCAGCCATTTCCCCCAAGGAGTTCAGTATTTAGAAACCAAGCTAAGTGTGCTCATTGCTATTGGGGTGTTCCTGTTCCCAGACTACCTAAGTGGATGGAGCTGAGGGATATATGTATGTACATATACATACACTTGCATCTATGTTTCTATACTTACATATATTGAAAACCATCACTTCAGATAATATCCTTTAACTCCAATTCAACACCACAGGATTCATTCTAGTTTTGATTCTCCCTCTCTGTACTTGTAGTTCCCTTTTCCAATAATTCCAAACTCCCATGATCCTCATTGTATTGGGCCAATCCCCTCATATATAACAATTCTTTTACCACCACCCACACATTGATGCTCTTCTTACCCCTCTTGGGCTCTGACACCGGACTCCAAGCCACTGTTGCCACCACTTCCTTATAGACCCCCTCCTCACCCTGCCCAGCGTCCAGTACCCCCCTGGGGCCACCACCCCTCTGCCCCTGTGCTGATATCTACCTTGGTTGGCTTCACCTAATGAATTTTAAAAGGGGAGGGAAGGGAGCTCCCATCTTTTCTGTTGCAATGAATTTATTTAAAAGGAAAAGACTGCCCGGCCGGGCATGGCTCAGCGGTTGAGCGTCAACCTAGGATCCAAGCGATCAGGGTTCGATTCCTGGTCAGGGCACATGCCCAGGTTGTGGGCTCGATCCCCAGTTGGGGGTGTGCAGGAGGCAGCCGATCAATGACTCTCTCATCATTGATGTTTCTCTCTCTCTCCCTCTCCTTTCCTCTCTCTGAAATCAATAAAGATATTTAAAAAAACAAAACAAAAAGGAAAAGACTGAGTCACTGGAATGGTACTTCATTTATCTTTTGAAAGGAACAGATACATTAACTTAATTTTCACTAAAGACCCTCTGAAGCGTTTCAAAGCAGCAGGAACAGGTTTTTGTGTTTGTTTTAATTTTTTTAAATTGATATTTAGAGAGAGAGACATCAATGTGACAGCGGAACATCATCACCTGTCTCTTGCCAGGACAATGCCCAATCAACAGCCACACTGGCCAGGGCAATGGGAACAATTTTTATTCCATCTTCCTGGCACCTGACTTAGCCTTCGGCTTAGGTAAAACAGATGAACCTTTTCCTGGCCCCTGGCTCCCTTCTCTTCTCTGCCATGTGCTAAACTCTCCCTTTGCTCTCTGACTTTTTATGTCAGGCTAATTTGAACTCCCAAGGGACTTTGCATAATTTTTCAGCTTTGGAATTGCTAATGAGCAAAGGAAAATTAAACATGGCCAGGGTAGATTAAAGTATGCCCCATGCCACTCAAACAGACTGAACTACCAGGCTGACTCCAAATGACATCTTTCAATATTTTTAATGCAAGAATCAAAAGTGCTGCATTGGCTGGGAAGGTAGCTCCATGTGTGAAACTGCTCAGGAAGTTGTGTGGTTTAGATTCACGTCTAATAGAGAAGTGTTTTTGAAACTGACTGATCTTCCTAAGTAGTGTTAATTTGGCTGAGGAGATAAAACTCAATGTTTTTTGAAAAATGAGGAGCAATTTAATTTGAAACAGGTGCATTGGAGCCATTGGAGTGAAGCCATGGTCCTGAAGGCCGTGCCCAGGGTCAGGGTGTAACCTGATCATCTGGAGAACATGGGTCCTTGCACTACAAAAGTGATTCATCTCCGATTTTGTGTACTTTATTTTGAGCCTGGCCTCTGCTAATGTGGTCAAACCTATGCTTTGTAATAGGGTCTGCTACCTACCTTCATACTCTCTTGGGCTCTGGTTGGAAAATTAGGGCCTTGGAACCTTAGTAGGAAAGGAAAATGTAATGGACTGAGATATCCTACTTTCCTCTAGTTGATTCCTCTCTTTGCTTAAAGATGTTGCTTTAGTAATAGTGGGGCGTTCCCTTTGCGGCTTACAAGAGAGCTCAGGACAAACTACTTCTTTCACTCTTCACAAAGGCCCGTTCTTTGGTTTGTGGCTGCAGCTGTTATTTTCAGAGCCCGGCTGCATCAATGCATAACAGATTTTTGTATGTTTCTTAACTTTGTGTGCAGGTTATTATTTGAGAGGTGAGAGAAATCCTGATGGTGAATTTCCCAGGTAAAAACACTGACATGGTAGATCACATCATGGCCACCTCACTTCGTTTCAGTAAATTTCTAGGTTCGAGATTGGACACTGTCTCTTGACTATGGTCAGTGAACTGCACTGTTTTACCAAGTTACAGGACAAAAAACCACAATCTGATCCTATGCTCCAGTGGGAAACCCTAAGACATAATAGCAGGGAAGCCTTGACCAAAAGCTCAAACTTGCCTCTTCTCCCTGGGGTGAGCACCAAATTGCATTCATTCATTCATTCCCCACCTTTCTCTGAGTTTGGATTTCTTCATTAAAACTTAAAATATCCTTAGAAAGAGTCATATTTTAAACATTAATCAGCAACAGCATGTTAGAGAAACACCTCCAAGGGGACGGGCAGCACTGGAGGAAGCCCTGTACCCTGCTCTC